CTATTCCCAGCTCAGGTTTAGATCAGGCTGTTTCTGAGGTTTAAGCAAATGCTCAACGTCTGGCTGGAGTGAGAAGTCGAGAGGACGAGATGAACCGAAGGACTGACGAGAACTTTCAAACATTGGATCTGAAGACTGACCAGTCCTGAGGACAGTGGACATATGTTTGATTTACAGACTAAGGAGTTCTGTGGACAGGAGACAGAAGTTAGACTTAAAAACTGATGAGCCTGGAGGACATTGGACAAATTTGATTCAAAGACTGAGGAGTCCTGAGGACAGAAGACAAGAAGTTGATTTAAAGATTGACAAGTTCTGAGGACAGGAGACAGGAGTTTGATTTAAAACCTCACGTGTCCTGAGGACAGGAGACGAAAGTTTGATTTATAGACTAACAAGTCCTGAGGACAGAAGACATGTTTGATTTAAAGACTGACGACTCCTGAGCACAGAATTTAAAAAAAATTAAATTAATTTAAAGAATGACAAATCCTAAGGACAGAGGACAAGTTTGATTTAAAGACAGAGGAGTCCTGATGACAGGAGGAAAAAAGTGAAGGCCAAAGCAGTTTCGATAATACCAGGAACCTGGAGCTGTAGCAGACAGTGGTAAAATCACTACTGCGGGGGTCGGTACCAAGAGCAAGAGACCTAACTCGGACTAAAAAATAGTACCATGAATGACATACAGCTTCGGTAAGCAGATTGAAAGAAGGTCCTGGTGTGACAGCACTGACACAGACGTGTTTCTGCTCCGACATTCACATGAAGCATAGAATCATCTTAACGTGATTCTGCTCAAGGTCTTCTCTTCTTCTGTCCATGTCCTGTTTCTGCATTACCGACTCTATTCTGCAGTAAAAGACATAAAAGAAGTACCACAGAAAGAATGAGGGGAAAAAAACACACTCTGTTTTGTAAACACCCACTTCAACAAACCTCCACTTCAGCTCAGGGTTTTCTGTTTATCAGCTCACTGAACAGAGGGAGAAAGTTTGTTCAGAGGGAATTTTCACCAAGGACGAGAGCTTCATTTTCTTCACTCATGTCTGTAGGGGAAGTTTTCCAGGTGCAAGACATGAAATACAAACTAGTTCTCTGGGAGAACATGACAACATCACTTGACTTTCAGAAGCACAGCAGGTGTGAAAACGCATTTTCAGAAAAATATGAAAATCATTTTCCACCGGACCACAGGAGTCAGAGAGGCTCTCAGACCAGAGAGGAGACTACCGGTAACTACAACTGCCACCACCTTAGGTTTGTCCTCAAATGTCCCTCAAAATACAATCCACTGCAGGGAAATGTTTTTGTCTGATACAACTGTGAGAGCAGAGATGGTGCTAGGCTAACAGACAGACAGGGCTATGGTTAATAAAGATGAATAAATAGATATGAGGTTCACTCAATGAACAGTCATGACAACATAAATAATGAACATGGATTATTGTTTACATTTCAGCTTCAAGAGGGTGAAACGGCAATGGAAAAATGTTTAAAAAAAGATTAAAACAGACAAAAGTAGAAAAAAAAAACCATGACAGAAAATTGTCAAAATTGGTGAATACAATCAGATGAAAAAAAAAGGAAATAGAAAAAGGTACAAAAACTGACAACAAGGACAGAGAGAGTAAAAGAAGAGCAGAGATGACACTGGTCCAACTGATTATTGAAGATAACCACCTGTTTTCAATACAAATGTACTGTGAGAAACTATGTTAAGTGTTTGCTGTAGTTCTGTCGTGGGTTGGCGGTTCAAATCCCCGGGGAGCTCCCTGGATGCAGTAAAGTGCGGCCCACTTCTGCAGTGTGAATCACTGGGTTGTTCCACAGTTGGGTTAAATGCAGGCAGTGAAGTTCCATTACAGGATTAGCACGGGTACTTAAAAAAATTATTTTAACAAAAAATTGAGAGAAGCAGAAAATGGCTGCAGTGCAGCAACTGCAACAATAAACACTGGTGTTTTTATGCAGCATAAAAATATAGAAAACAATCTTTGAATCAGTTTCATCTTAATGATCAGTGACTTTTACGACATATATAAACATCTTCATCAGTCACTCTCATAAACAACCGTCTTTTATGCTCTTTTCTGCACACACTGTAGAATAGAGTTCATTTCTTGCATCACAGATGACTTTTCTCTCTCCAGACTGGTTCTGGTCCAATGGCGTTGGCCCGCCTCGGGCTGCTACTAATAACTAAAACGCTTGGATTTGATTCTCTAAATTGGAGCCTTGTTGTGTCCTGACTTCCCCGGAGTCGGACTGAAATGACACCATTACTGCTGCTGCTCACCAGCACAGCATCAGTTCTAATTAAAGGCTCTGAGACAACACTGTTGTCAGACGACGCTGCCACATGTCCTGGACGGAAGGACACACTTCAGCTGCTCACTGTCCACCGCCATGGTCAGTTCACGTAGAAAACAAAACTGGGAGACGATGAAGATTATCATTGGGGGGATATCATAAAAAAAAAAAAAAAACTTTCTCCAAATGTTTTTTATTTGCAAATTCCTTATTTAACAATGTCCTCAGAGCTGAACCAATCATATGACTGGGGTGTGTGTTTTCATCTCATGTCTCTCTGCAGTGAACTGTTTGACTGAACAGTGTTTAAACGTCTCATCAGTCTCATCTGTTGGATCTTTTTAAGTACGTGATAAAATAAAATGATACACAATGAAACATATTTAATTACACTATTGTTTCTTTTGAACTTGTTCTGTTCACACACACACACACACACACACACACAGTCCACAGTAGCTGTTTCTCATGAGTATGACACACACTGACTCTGTGAATCGCTGTTGGCATGGCAACCTGTTGGAAGAACCAAATTTGGCTTTTAAAATATATTTAGACTGTTGGAATTTAAATCACTCCTTGAGGGAGTGAGAGGGAACAGGGAGAGGGAAAGGGTGAGGAGAAAGAAGCTGTGGAGGATGGAGGGAATAAAGGAAAAGAAGACAGTAAGAAAGAAGCAAGGAAAAAAGGAAAGAAGGAAGAAAGGTAGAAAGGAATGAAAGAAGGATGGACAAAAGTGAGAACTGAAGACAGAAATGGAAGATGAGAGGAAAGGAAAGTAGGAAGGAATAAAACAAGTAGGTAGAAAAGTAATGTTAGGTATGTGGATAGGAAGGAAGGATGGAGGGAAGGATGGAAGGAAGGAAAGGAAGGAAAGAAAGCAGGAAGGAAGAAAAGAAGGAAGGAAAGAAGGAAGGTAGAAATGAATGAAAGAAGGACAGACAAAAGTGAGAACTGAAGGAAGGAATGGAAGATAAGAGGAAAGTAGGAAGAAATAAAATAAGAAGGAAGGAAGGACGAGGTCCCCCGTCAAATTGTAGGACCTATTGTTGCCCATGAGTCAAAAAGCCACGCCTACTCTACACAGTAAAACTCAGAGGTGTGAGACTGAGGATCATAACGATGACCATGATAATGCTGCAGGTGACGATGATGATGGTGATGATGAAAATGTGGCCATGTTCAAGCCTATTGGTTCTAACAGAGAACGACAGAACAGTTCTCATTTTTAAACACTTCAGGGACTGAGCTCTGAGCCTGAGTGTTCTCCAGGAGTGGGTTCTTGCGTGTCCAAACCTCCTGCCTCATCCTCCCACTCTATCGTCTTTATGTGTTTTTAATTAGCAAAGTCATTAGCAGCATGTAAACATG